TACAGCACTATATCAGACAATGTTCTATTGCGATCTATAGAGTTTTCATTAGCATTTTTGGGAACTAGATTGCCAGGCCTTTCTTCCTAGTCTTTCTGAATCTGAAAGCTCCACTACGACCTGTCCACCATGGGTGGCCCTGTTGGTATTTGAAATACTGATGGCATAATTTCCAGCATCATAGCAACATTCAAGTTGCTAGTCCTAGGGGCACAGATATGATAACAGCTATATATTCTTGAGCCTAAGACAGTCTAAGATTTTTCTAAGGAGCAGTTTTGTTTTGCTTTGTAATTTGAACATGAGGTTTATTCTGAGCAGTTATTCTACATTCTAAGGAGCAGTTTTTGTTTGTTTTGTCACATTTTCATGTGTGTGTGTGGAGGGATGGAGGGGAGGGTTACAGCCTTCTTCATAAAGCAAGAATGGCTTCGGGTTATTCCCTGAAGGGCTCTACTTTTATTGCTTTTCATTACACAATGTTCTGGAAAAGTAAGTACACTTCTGCTTTGTTTGCTGTCCTCCTTTAGTGGGGTGTGTGTGTGTGTAAGGGGGTTGGTCTTGTGCTAGGAAAGCCCAGAGGGCAGGAGTGGACAGCTTCTGATTTCCAGTACGAAATCTTAGTTACAGATTACTGCCTTTGCTACTGCTGGACCAGGTGCCAGAAAAGGAGCCAAACAGGATGAGGGGGATACAGATCCTCCTTAGAGCAGCCCCCATGTCACTGTTGCAGCTGCTTAGAAATTCGTGAGGGCCCCAGGATGTCTACACCTCTAAGGAGTCAAGACATCCTAGGACCCGGAGTCTGCAACCACCCCAGGCTCTCCATTTTCCTGAGGTTGAGCCTGGGGCTGTGAAGTTTTCTGCAGTATCCCTGGTAGCACCAGTCTGCCGTGTACTTGAGCAACACTGGAACCTCTTTGATATGGTCCCCACTCCACCCTGGAGTCAACTTGATTCATCATTCTGAAGGCATAATCCCTGCCCTCATTGGAAGGAGAAGCCAGCACCTGGGTGACACTCAAAGCAGAAGGCGGCAGTTTCTTAACAGGAAGCTGAAGTGCTGTGGGAATGCAGAAGACAAGGCCAGGAACACGCACGCTCTTCTTGGAGAATCAGAGAAAACATAGTTTGGAGAAAGATGTCTCAGGTAGAGAAGGTACTTCCAGCACAGGCTCAGGGGCTGGGACTAGACTATATTTAATAACATGGAAGTGGACGAGTGGGTCAGGACTGGCCAGGTAAGACCTGACCCTCCTGCTATCCACGATCCTATTCGTCACTCAGATCTGTTTTTACTGGCCTTTGAAAATATTTTACTGGCCTTTGCTAGGGCAGAGCTCTGGCGGCACAGTGGTTAAGAATTCTGCTGCTAACCAAAAGGGCAGCAGTTCAAATTCACCAGCTGCTCCTTGGAAACCCTATGGGGCAGTTCTGCTCTGTCCTGTAGGGTCGCTATGAGTCAGAATCAACTCAGTGGCAATGGGTTTTGTTTGTTTGGTTGGTTTTTGCTAGGGCAAAGGTATGGAGGTGTCAAAAAGAGAGAAAAAGATTAGGATGTCCTCCAGGCGCTCCCTGGAAACCCTGTGGGGCAGTTCTAGTCTGTCCTATAGGGTCTCTATGAGTTGGAACCAACTCGATGACACCTAACAGCAGCATCAACCATGGTGAGGGCTGAGGACAGTTGAAGGGAAGGGAAACTCATGTTAGTGGTGGATGTTACCTCATTTTTCCTTATTACAAGCCTGTCGGCGGGTAGTGGAGGATATCCCTATTTTACAGATGAGGAAACAGCCTCAGGCAAAGTGACAGCACAAAATCACACAGGTATCAATAATGAGAGCTGGGATTTGATCCAGGGCTGTCAAGCAATGCTTCTGTCCTTTCTCTTCTGTATACTGGAGAGTCTGTGCTGATTTTGAATTAGGAGGGTGCCACCGCCCCTGAGCCATCTTGTTTGTAATTCATAGTTTCTAAAGTGCCTTTCCAGATGGGATCTGGTTTGAACCACGGCAGAGTTTCCTTCCCTTGCCTTCTGATTATTTGTGTTCACTTGGACAAACGCTTTAACCTCCTTCCCCGCCAGTAACATCTGGTTGTCGATGAGGATGTTCCCTGGTACCTCCTCTGAAGGGTCACCCTGTGACTCCTTGCCCTGTGGCCTCTTTTCCAGCCTCTCTCAGGGCAGCTTCTCCCCATCACAGTCTATGTGATCTGGTTGACCTGACCACCACCCTGTCACACCTCCTCACAGAACACCCATTTTTCTCTTTAAAAATATAATGAACTTTCCTGTGTCTCAGAACACATTAGAAGACTTTGTGACAGTCACTTATTAGAAGTCGAGGCATGAGGTCCTTGACAAGGATACATTGATGACAGATGGAGCCGGAGACCAGCCCAGTGACTGGAACCTCATTTTGCTTCATCTGATCAGCTGTGGAAGGAGCCCTGGTGGCATAGTGGTTAAAGTGCTCGACTGCTAACCGAAAGGTCGGTGGTTTGAACCTACCAGCCACTCCATGGGAGAAAGATGAGGCAGTCTGCTTCTGTAAAGATATATAGCCTTGGAAACCCTATTCTGTCCTATAGGGTCTCTATGAGTCGGAATCCACTTGACGGCAATGGGTTTGGTTTGGTTTGATCGGCTATGGATGGTTCCCTTTAAAGAATCAAGGTTAAATACCATGCAGCTGAGAATAATCGCCAGTGAAGGAAGGTCACTCTTTTTATCTCATCTCACATGGTGCCTTTTTTATGAAGTCTTTTTATAGCCCACTTTCTTGGGAGTAACTTTTTTTTCTTAATTAAGGATTCTAATTTTAACGTGAGCTCTGACCTCTTTCTGCCCCGTTTCCAGAACCATTCTTTTGCTGTGATTGGATTTCATGGTTAGAAATTAAGATCCTTTATTGTGTTATCTGTTTTCCTCCACACATAGTTAACTATGGCAAACGGGGGCTTTATTATGATCATGATGTGTTTATCTTGCTAGAGTATCAAAGAAGGTCTTTGGGACATTTTATTGAGATGCTAAATGGGACTTAAGACCCTTATTGTTTAGGGGTCTGTTTCAGTATGGGTGGGAGGCTGTGGTTAAAATGATGTCCCAAGAAGGAGATGGAAACGTTCCTTTACGTGAAACTTGATGAAGCAAAGAGAACATGAAGAGTCCTTTAAAATTTGGAGAATTAGGAGTTGGGCGAAGTCAGCTCTCTGGGTAAAAGTTGATTTACACTGCAGAGTGTTCTGGGTGTCACCCTCAGTGTGGTAACCTCGGGCACCTGCATGCTGAGGAGAGTTGAAGGGAACGGTCTTCTCTATGAGCCAACAGCGGGGTAAGGAACTCACACAGGTGCATAAGGCAGCCTGGACACAAATGTGTTCTGCCAACCTTTGGAGACAACCTGGTGCCCATCAGTAGGAGAATGAAATAATAATGAATAAATGAACTAGAACTACATGTGACAATATGCAAAACCCCTCAAAATTATAATGTTGGGTAAAAAAAAATTGCAGGAGGGCATATACAATTTAATACCATTTCTATAGGGTTTGAAACAAGCAAAACAATACTCATATGTTGTTTGTGGCTACAAACATGTAGTAAAAATATAATGAAATATAAAGGAATGATGAATATCAAATTCGGGATAGTAATTACCTCTGGGGTTGGAGGGGAAACGAGATCTGGGAGGGGTTCACATGGGATGTCAGTATTTTCTCTAATGTTTTCTTAAAGTGGTTGTTGGGTATGTACATTTTTAAATATTATTTCTATTTTTGAATGGAGTCCCTGGGTGGTGCAAATGGTTAACGTGCTCATCTGCTAACTGATGGTTAGAAGTTCAAGTCCACTTAGAGGCTCCTTGGAAGAAGGACCTGGTGATCTACTTCAGAAAAATAAGCCATTGAAGACCCAATGGAGCACAGTTCCATTTACACACATGGGTTGCCGAATGCCTGAAATACTTCATAATTTTAAAATTTGTTTTTAAAAAGAAGGAGAGTCTTACCTGATCAGTTTGGTCAGTACTTTTAAAGTAATAACTAAGTGGATTTTCTGTGGCTGATTAGCTTGTCATTTTGCTATTCTCCCACACCTTGGCGTGGCCAGATTCATTGTGGCCCCATCATTGTCCCTTAGCTTATTAGCACCAGTGGGAAAATAAGAGAAGACATGAAACCTCCCATTTTTCTACTTGTTTGCAACTGTCTTATAAAGTTTGGTAAGTGGGGAATAGAAATGATGTCCAAAGGAAGTTTTTACATTTTGAGCATATTTTGTTCAATGATTATATGCCGATAACAGGTTAACTTAGACAATCTTGAATTTTGGATAAATCTCTAAGAATCTTCTGCCCAACCAAGTGTTATGGATTGAATCGTGTCCCCAAAAAACGTGTGTCAACTTGACTAGGCCATGATTCCCAGTATTGTGTGATTGTCTACCATTTTGTCATCTGATGTGATTTTCCTATGTGTTGTAAATCCTACCTCTATGATGTTAATGAGGGAGGATTAGAGGCAGTTATGTTAATGAGGCAGGACTCAATCTACAAGATTAGGTTGTATTTTAAGTCAATTTTGTTTGAGATATAAAATAGAGAAGCTAGCAGAGAGACAGGGGGACCTCATACCACCAAAAAAGTAGTGCCAGGAGCAGAGCGCATGCTTTGGACCCGGGGTCCCTGAACTGAGAAGCTCCCAGACCACGGAAAGATTGATGACAAGGACCTTCATCAAGAGCTGAGAGGGAGAGAGAAAGCCTTCCCCTGGAGCTGGCTCCTTGAATTTGGACTTCTAGCCTACTAGACTGTGAAAAAATAAATTTCTATTTGTTAAAGCCATCCACTTGTGGTATTTCTGTTATAGCAGCACCACATAACTAACACTGAGGAAGGGGAGGGGAAGTGATCTCCCTAAAAACCACTGTGTAAAGTTTCCTTTAGCCCACCCTCAGGGGAGTGGTTTAATGGCTGTTTCCTTTGTATTAACAGCATGGCCGGACCCCCTTACATCTTGCTGCCAATAAGGGCCATCTCTCTGTGGTCCGTATCTTGCTGAAGGCTGGCTGTGACCTCAACATCCAGGATGATGTGAGTAGAAGCCATCATTCTATCAGGGGGTGGGTTGGTAGGGAGTTTGTGTGCCTAGAAATGCACAGTACAAGGTGTAATCAGCTATGAGGTAGGAGATTGGTAGATGCCCTCCTAGCACTTTTTTACCTCCATCTTGAGGAGCTTCAGTTTGAAGGTCTTGTCTGAGACCTTTCCTCAAGAATAAGTTAGAGTTTGGTGAGCATGGGATGTTTTCCCAGTCATAGTTCATTCTGTACCTGTTATCATTCAACTGCAGAACACTGAAGGACATTTTTCCTGTGTCCAGTCCTAGTATGAGGAGCACCCCCCACCCACAACACACACACAGAGTGAGTGGGCAGGGCCTGCTGGAAATGTGTATCATTGACCAAGCTTACCATTGGAGACGAGGTGGGGCTAAAAACTTTTTTCCCTTTCTCATCTCAATTTCTGTAAATCAGTGTACATTTAGTTAAAAAAAAATTATTCAAATTAATTCCAGGGGAAATAAAAGGACCAAGATCTCATGGAATCCAAGAAACAGAAGCCCGCAGTAAGAATTCACTCTAGTGCTCCCTCACTGAAACTTGGCTCCCAACTTGCCTGGTTCTCTGAGTCTCTTTAGTCCTATTATCTAGAGGGACTCTGCTTGGCTTCTCTGGGATCAAGTATCCATTCCTGAGTCAATCAGCAGTGACTGGGGTGCTGTCACAGAGTATCTATTGAGGTGGTGTCAAATAGTACTGTTTGGGGGAAGATGGATTCTCAGGAAGGGGATGTAGACAGGGTCAGGTAAATTGTCCACTAAGGAGCTGTTAGGAAAAGGTCCTATGATCATGTAATTGGGAACTATTTTCAGAAGCTATTCCAACTCTAGTATGTGTGGTAGGACTCCGATAAGTAAGAACTTACATGTGGAAGACAACAATATCTTGGAGAGTTTACACTCTCACAGCCACTTCCAGATTTGCCTTTAAAAACTGTGGTTATAGAGTGTTACTCAAATTTCAGACCCTCAGGTATGCTAGGGTGTGGTTTACTGAAGTGCTTCCAGTTTTCTTGGGTCTCTGTATAATGTCCTAAAACTTGGCAAACACACTCACAAGTGACAAGGACAGCATTTTCAAAGAAATAACAAAATATGGCATTGTTTTATGCATGGGCAGACAGTAGTCCAGTTTCTTTCATAAATCCCCGGTTATAGCTAGAATCTGTTGGGTCATCAGGTATGTTATTTTCAAAAGATGCTGATTTAGCTTTAAGCAGTTGATTTGTACCTTGGGTCATAATTCTTTTTTCATTTTCCTAGCCATCATAACATTCCCAATTACATGATATCCTTAGATGACAGGAGCAAAAATACAGGGAGGGAGAAGAGATTCTGACCACATAAAAGACGGGGCATTGAGTTGCTGGTACAAACATGTTGGGATGCATCTTGTCTTCTCTTTGCATAATTAAAGCCCTTGCTTGCCTTAGTGGCAAAGCTGCAATGCCAGGCATGCTAACCCATCCCAACCCAACACCACCCCTGCCTTAGGTTCTAAGATCAAGTAGTATTGTTCTCATGTAGCAAAAGCCATGCTAATATCCTAGAACTGCTGCTTTTTATACCAGGCAAGGTGGGAAGTAAAACAGGCAGGGGTTCTGACAAGGTGGCTGTCTTAGGGTTTGGAGAAACAGAACCATGAGATACATATGTCTGGTTCTGTTTCTCACTCTCTCTTAGCCTGGATGGTGCAAGAGGTTTGCGATTGGCTACTAACCCAAAGGTTGACAGTTTGAACCTACCCTGGTGGCTCCGTGGAAGAAAGTCCTGGTGAACTACTTCCGTAAAGATTATAGCCAATAAAACCCTATGGAGCAGTTCCACTCTGTAACACATGGGGTTGCCATGAGTTAGAGGCCAACTTGACAGCAGCTAATAAACACAGAGAGGTAAGGGGGTGGGGCTAGGGGAGAGAGAGAAAGGGGAAGAGAGAGGGAGAGACAGACATTCATTGATTTACTTCAAAAGATTGACTCACACAATTGTGGGGGCTGGCAAGTCCAAAATCTGTAGGTCAGGCAGCAGGCTGGAGATTTCTGCAGGCTTGCATCCTAAGACCTGTAGGTTGGGTGATGGAAACAGTGCAGAGTGGAGAGAGCTGTTGTTGTTGTGTGCTGTCAAGTTGGTGCCGACTCATAGTGACTGTATAGGACAGAGCAGAACTGCCTCATAGGGTTTCCAAGGAGTGGCTTGTGCATTCGAACTGCTGACCTTTTGGTTAGCAGCCAAGCTCTTAACCGCTGTACCACCAGGGTTCCATGGAGAGAGCTAGTTCTGCCAAAACAATCTATTTATAGTCTGGAGGCAGAACATACCCAAAGGAAACTCTTTTCTTTTTTTTTAATTTTTTATTGTATTTCAAGTGAAGGCTTACAGAACAAATAGTTTCTCATGAAACAGAAGTACACATGTTGTTTTATAACATTGGTTAACAACCCCACAACATATCAGCCCTCTAACTTCTCAACCTCTTTCTTTTTTTGGTGAAAATACACATAGCCAAAGATACACCATTTCAGAAATGTCTACATGCACAGTTCAGTGACACTGACTACGCTCTTCGAATTGTGCTGTTATTCTCACTTAAGATGAAGGCTTACAGAACAGAATAGTTTCTCACTTAACAATTACTATACATGTTGCCCTATGACAATGGTTAACAATCTCTCAACACATGAACAATATCCTCACTCAACCTTGGGTTCCCTATCACCAGCTTCCTTGTCCCCTTCTGCTTTCTGGCCCTTGTCACTGGACTCCTGTACCTCGTTAGTGTTAGTCTCATTTGGTTTTACGGGGCTGTCCACTCCCAGGCTGAACAGTGAACCTCAGACGTAACTTCACCACTGAGCTAAAAGGGTGTCTGG